GACCTGAGAGAGAGAGAGAGAGAGAGAGAGAGAGAGAGAGAGAGAGAGAGAGAGAGGTTAAAAGCAAACTCAAAATATACCAAAAATAAATTCAATATAACAGATGAAACCAAGGTGTGAATAGCACTTCAGCATATTTGTGACTGGACACAAAATGGACACGTTGCCTCTTTAGCGCTGCCCAAGTGGCTCCCTGAAGCTTTTTCAAAAAATGTTTGGAAATGGAAAAAGATGGGGGAAGGAAATATATTTTTTGTTTTAATATGGTTTCTGTAGGAGGACAAACATTACACAAACAATTTTAGCGTTTTGCAATGCTGTAAAAATGTGTCACTCCCAGTTGGGAGTGAGAGAAAGTGCGGTTGCATTACTTCTGGAGAAAGTTGTGTTGCAACCCAGGAGATAATTAAGCGTAGACAACTGTTCACAGATGGTGACTACATGAAATATTCGTTCATCAAATATCAGAATAGAACACCCATTCTCTGTGATGCATATTCCGCTTAGCCAGTGAAGGAAAGGGCCATTAAAAAGTCAGGCCACATCATTGATCAGCAAATTAAGGACATTAATTCAGCGCCAACATCCTCAGCGGCCTGTGATGAGTTGTGTAATGTGATCCATACTGAACAGACTGCGCTTTTATGCAGGTGTGTGAACTTTGAAATGATCGCGAACACATTTAATCATGACGGCTCATTATGTATTTGTAGCCAACTTAATAATTTTGATAGTAGGGTAATATATCTAATATACATACATACAGCATGTGTTGCCTTCATTATGAGGTGCCTTAATTTTTTTGAGGCTCCAGATTTTATTGGTTTTTGTTTATGTGGTCCAATATGGCTCTTTCAACATTTTGCGTTGCCGACCCCTGGCCTACTGAAAGGGTGTCTTCCACTCCGTCACTCCTTTGTTTGGTTGTATCCAGCATCCGCTGCGTCTTTTCTGTTGTCCCATAAATAAATGATTTTTTCCTTGAGTTCCTGGTCCCTGTGTCTCCCTCCTGGGTCCTGCATGTTGGATCCATCCCCCATCAAACTGTGACACCAGGGCTGTTTCTTAGTCCCTGTTATGGCTACTAGATCGTGTCAGGTTCAGAAATGTGTTGGGACTTCCTGCTCTAGGGCGGCATCGTGGTGTGCGGGTTAGCGCCATCGTCGGTTGATTGGACATTCCAAATTGCCCTTACTCAAATTGAGTGAGTATGCCTGGTTGTTGGTCCTTGTGTGTGTCTGTGTGGCCCTGCGATGGACTGGGGACCATCCAGGATGACCCTGTCTCTGCCCTGTTGACCACTGGGATAGGCTCCTGTCCCCCAGTAGGTAATACGCGGTTAAAATAATGGATGGATGGACTTCCTGCTGTATTTTACCTTATTTAATTTACTCTTGAGTCCGATTGTCTGTTCCACCCTGATGTTTCACCTGTTCCCCATCCCGTTTGTTGTATGTACACATAGTCAGCATTTACCCTTGTCCTGTGCTAGCCCGTCTTGTCCCAGCATCGGACAACAAAACCATTTTCTCATGCCAAGTTCCAGGTCTAGTCAAGTTGTTTATGCTTCCTAAGAGTGATTTTTCAGGTAAACGTTGTGAGCTTTCCTCTCAGGAGTGATCTTCTTCTGTTACTTTCATTGTTGGCCTTTTTTGAGAGCACTTCTGTTTCTGTGCATTGTTCATGGACTTCTATAGTGCCTTTGCAGTCAAACTGACTACACTACGTGTCATTCACCATTCACTCACTGGTTGCTCTCCAGTGGGCACACCAGATGCCACCGGTAGGCAGCCTGGTGTTCAGAGCCTTGCTCAAGGACTCTTTGACATGTGGCCTGGAGGAACATTGGAGTTGAACTTCTGGCCTTCCACTCAGTGGGAAACTGTTCTTACCTCCTGACCCACAACCGCCAACTACTCATTGGGGCCACAGAGTAGGAATCGCTGATAAGTAGAGTAGCTTGCCCCAAACTTCCCTTGCCTATTTGAACGTTACCCACCTTAGACTTGCTTCTCCCACATCTTTACTCCCAGCTAACAAAAGTTCTGTCTTCAACTTGGAGCAGAGTCGGCAACTCCAGGTCGGCTGAGGAAAGATAAATAAAATCTTGAATGACATCTGTATGATGAATGGACTTTTTAGAATCAGACCAGAGTAGTTTTCGGAAAACTTCCGAAAACTGGGTTCAAGGGTGAATTCTTTTTGGTGGTGTCTTGGAGAACAGATGAGAAGATAAGTGATGCCCCACCAATTTTCAAATCAAATCACTACTAGAAGCATTTGCGAAGTTTTAAGATCATAACAAAACAAGCAAGCCTCTGCCTCTCCCTCATCCTCTCCATAGTCCTTTCTGGACTTCTCCATCTTGAACATTACAGTTTGTCCAGGGTTAGGGCGATGATAGGGATGGAGGGGCCCATCAGTCCAATTATGTCTGAGAATAGGGTTATATCATCCTCTGTGATGTCGGACAGGCCTTTTGTCTTGACTTTTCTGGCTGTCAGTGACAACGCTGAAACACTTTTGGAAATGTTGATGGACTATTTTGAGGTGTTTCAGGTCCAACTGTAACTCCTTTCTCTATTTTCCTCCCATTTTGTCTGTGTTTTTGTCAATGTTGATATGTAATCAACTACTTTCTATGCTTGTGTGTTGATATTCGACAGCTAAATGTAGTTACCACTTGGTGGTATGAAACATTTCATCAGGTAATTTATTAAAAAAGAGAATTTCTGACTTTTGAGCCTTGTGAAACTGGAGATTAATAGCAATTATCCTCCTCTAAAGAAGGTGATGCCACACATTATCAAGGTTTAATTAATGTAAGAGTGTAAAGAAGTGAATAACACATAACACTGAATTTGTTCTATTTATTATTTCCTGCCAGACACAAATTTCTGTGCTTTTGAGAGAAACTTGCCAATTTTATTCAATACATTTTAGACGGTTAAAAAATAAAGACATTTTGGTAAAATAACGAAGCATAGACAAGCCAAGGCAGCAGTAATTGAAAATAAAGCAGATAAAACTTGAGTTAGTAGAGAATCCTCCAAATTTAATGGTTAATTAGCTATCTGTTAAATTATACATTTTGACATTGATGAGTTGATTATGTTTTGATTTCATTTAGACTATTTTGGTCTTATCCATTTGCACGTTTTCCTTGATAATCTTAACATCAAAATCTCTGTCCATTCCAGACCTGGATTCCCAAGATCATTAAAAAACGGCAGTGCACCACTTTTGTTGAAGACACGCTCAGGTATTTTACTTCTCTTTTTAAGTCATTGACTATCTGAACAAAACTACTTTGGCTGATTTCATATCAAAAGTGAGATTACATTTCCAATCTAAATCTAGGTATATTCCTTTAGATTTTATATTCATGATTTATTGTAAGTCCATACAAGTAAAAATGCATTCAAAAGTAAGACATTTTAACATGAAATTTACGTGAACGTTTTTTTAAAAGACACACATGGATGAATAATAGAAAGCAATTGAAACAGAATACTTATTCATTTGTTGTCTTGGTGATACTTTTTTTTTGTTAACTTTTCTTGGGTCTTTTCTTGTTCAAGGCCAACCAAAAGCTTAGGAAGTACATGGCATGACACCTGGTGGAAAGTTTTTTTTTATTTAAGCTTGTTTGATTTCCAGACATTTTAGTAAATTAACAGTAATATATAAACTGGATTATAAAATTTTAAATCTATATTAGACAACAAACTGCCAGCTTTTAAATTTTGACTTTATTTAATTAAATTAAAACTTTTAAAGTGTGTCATTTAAAATAAAAAACAGATTTGAATGAATAGACTGTAATTACATCACAAATACAAAAAACTGCTTCCAACCAGCTTACTTGAACTATTAAAGATAAGATGAATCATTTCTGAAGGCATTTCAACACCCCAATTTAGGCCAATTACAATCCATTTTATTGCAATTTGGTCATGATCCAAAGACAGTTTTTTTTAAACAAAGGGCTTTGGTTAGGAATCCATTGAAGAGCTTAGAACCCCTAAACTAATGCCCAGTCTGGAGTATGTAACACCAAGCTTGAAGATATCTCAAGACCTGCATATTCTGCCATGTTAGGCGTCCTTGGCCACAGAATGATAAACTCACAATGATTTTTCTTGTTTTTTGTTGTTTTTTGTGTGTCAGTAATGGAGCGCTGTGTCAGTGTGGTAGTAGTAGAGAAGCGCACGACTCCGTGGCAACGGGAGACTACGTTGGAGCCGAGATTGTCACGCAGTGGGACAGCAGGCAGCACTCCTCAGAGAGCCCCACCGATGCTTTTGGAGAACTGGAGTTTGCTGGGGCTGGACGAAGACACAGCCACGTGAGTGGAACCACTTTTTAAAGACAACGCAAACCAAAAGCACGACGGTCGGTGCAATCGTCAATTCCTTCCGATTCTGTTTTCAGTTGAAGGAATTTACCATTTCGCAAAGCAATAAAGTCAAAGCAACAAGGGAATAAAACATGAGAGCGGACAGCATGTTCTGAGAGAACAGGACTCCTGGTGTCTCCCTGCCCCTCTGACAATATGAAGGCATGATGCCACCATCTGCCTCAGGGGTGCTTTAGCCCGACACGGCCATCGTTTGGCAGGAGGTTGTAAACACCCTGATCAGGTTGTGAGTCTATCACAAGGGCAACCCAGAACCAAACAACCTTACATGCATCTTTTTGGACGGTGGAGGAAGGCAGATAATCTGGAGAAAACACTTCATAGTTAGAGAGGACATGCAAACTCCACACAGGAAGGCCCCCATGGATGGATTTAGAATTGAGAACGCTTTTGCTGGGAGCCCAAACATAATCCATCTAATTACTCTTATAGATAACTGATACATTGCTGTATTGACAGATTCCGTTTTCTGCACGCTGTCTAGTTCCTGCGGCTTTCCTGCGACACGCCCCCACAGACTGTTTACAATTTGATGACTACTCACTGGTGCCTGCCCTCGCCCAACTTGGTGATTTCAATAGTGGGTGGCGAAGGGGAGGAGAACATTAAACCGTGGGTGAAGGACATCCTGAGAAATGGACTGGTCCGAGCCGCACAAAGCACCGGTAAGCCACTAACCCATTTCCACCATAGGTCATCATGTAAATGTAACATGCATAGATTTGATGTGGAAACCTATTTTGATTGTCCCTGAGTAACCTTATTACATCATAGGCAAGGCGAGTTTATTTGTGATGCCGACTTTTGGTTCAAGACAATTCAAAGTGCTTTACACAGAGTTTAAAAGAAAAGGAAGAAACAAAATGAACCAACAAAATATATTAAATAGTTAAAAAGTGAAGGGTGTAGGTAAGATGCCTTCAGTTTCCATACGCACAGTTAAACACAAACGTTTTCAGCCTAGATTTAAACATTTAGAGTTGAGGCCTGTCTCAGGATCTGACCTCTTCAGGAAGACTGTTCCAGATTTTAGGAGAATGAAACTGAAATGAAACCTCTCATGGCTTGGTTCTTACTCTAGACTCTCCCAGAGAGAGTCTGAAGGTGATGGATGACACATCATCTGAATCTTTAGGAGTTAGATGATCAAATTTAAACAGATACTATTTGAATATCTAAGTCTCACAAAAATGTCCAAACTCTGGGATGAGCAAAAAATATTTAGTCAACTGTAAAGATTTGCTGACAGAAATGTCATCGGACAGCGTTGATAGTCAAAAGCTTTCTAACCACTAAGCTCAACACTTTTCTTTGATAAAACTTTATAATAGCTGTCATTTGTAAATGGTAAATAGACCAGAGACTAATCTACTTTTTAGGCTGCTGCGCCAAAATACAAAGCCCCATTTGTGCACCTCACACCAATTATTATTTAATCGTGTGTTGGTGATTGTAGGAACTACCATGTACAGTATAGTTGCTAGTGTAGATTTGGAATGTGTGAAATGTGATGCAACCATAAACTAAAGAGCCATAAAAAATATTGCCTATGGCTACTAGTGTCCCAGTGCACAGTATAAAGTCTGTTTTCTCCTTGAAAGATAAGGAAAGTACTTTGGGCAAACTCAACTCTGCGTCCCGACAGAGACAACAGGAAAGGACACCACATTCTGTCAAAGCTGAACAGAAAATCGACCCATTCAAACCCTTTTGACCAAAGTCAAAATATTTCAAAGACACATGTCAACTGTAATTTGATCAATGTCTGAATAAATGTGCGTTCAAACTGACAAACAAGCAAACTTGAAAAAGACATTTCCTTGCCAGAGAACTTTACATTCCTTTCTTTATCAGATCATATAATGGTGATGTTTACAGATCCCCCAGATTCCAAAAAGTTTGGGACTCCATGGGACAAAGAAAAACTGCACAATGCTTTGATGTAGAAATCTCACAAATACTTTGTCCAAAAAGGATAAATCATCTAATGATGATTGCAGTTATCATCTTGCAATAATAGTCATGTATTGTTAAACATAATTCTGAATACCTGCAATAATCGTGCCTCACACCCAAAAGTCTTCCTTCCTATTTTAGACTCATGGCATACTGGCTAACTGGTTACTATTTTTTCCAGGGGCCTGGATCTTGACGGGGGGTCTGAGAGAGGGTGTTTCTCGATGTGTGGGTGAGGCTATAAGGGCACTTGGAGTGGCAGCTCTAGGCCTGTCCCAGAAAAAAGTCATATCGGTTGGATTAGCCCCCTGGGGCCTAGTGCTCAACAGGAAGCAGCTTGTCAATTCCGAGGTACTTTTAAAAAAGAAACAGAAGTGATCCAGTGAACTAAAACTAAAGATATTGTTAATGCCTGTGGTGACCTGTTGATTTTGTATTGTCTACTTCAAGGGGAGTTTTCCTGCTCGTTACTACGTCCAGAATATATCGCGCGATTCATGCTGCTTAGACAACAACTGTCAAGTTTTCCTCCTGGTGGATGATGGAACTGTTGGCCGGCGTGGAGGAGAGACAGAATTTCGAGCTAATCTGGAGGACTACATCTCACATCAGCCTACAGGCATTTGGGGTGAGATGTTTTTGGCACATTTTATGGATCCAAGAACGCCTTGAACTGTACACGATAAACAGGTCCGATACCAACTAAGAAACGGAGCAAATATCAGCCACCTGCTCTACATGGAAGACATCAAGCTGTATGCCAGGAGTGAACAACTAATCAATTCAATGATCCACACCACTAGGATCTATGGTAGCGGGGGCAACTCCACGTTGAAGCAGGGGAACCTCTAAAGCCTGCAGAACATCAGGCGTTAGAGGCCTGGAGTTGCCCACCCCTGATCTATAGCAACAACACCAGAATGTCATTCAGACAAGGAAAGTGTAGTTGGATAGTACTCAACAGAGGTAGCCAGAACTGAGGGGATTGTCCTACCAGAATCCAATATTGCAGTATACCTACAGGTACAAATAGGTACCACAAAGAGGGCGCTAGGAAAGCTGCAACTGCCAAATGCCTACAGAGAGTAAGTCCTAAAGACCAGTTGGTAAGAGCCAGATCTGAGGAATCAACACCTATGCCCTGCCAGTCATCAGATACCCTGCTAATAGGCTAGCCAAAGGAAGTTATAGAGGCCACTGATAGCAAGTCAAGAATGCTCCTTACCATACATAAAGGGTTTCACCCCTGGTCCAGCACACTGAGACTATGTGCTAAGGGTAAAGCGGATCAACAAGGACTACTGAGTTTCAGAACCACCAGGATGAAACAAGCGACCATGAGTACATCAGGAAGATGGCCACAACTCATGAAATCCTTAGTGAATGCTTCAAGCAGCAGAAACCAGAGAAAGAACAGGAGCAAGAACAGGAGCCATTAAGGCAAGACGGACTCCTGCACAGCCCTGTACCATTGCCAAATAGTAGGAGTGGCTGATACCAAGAAATCCCCGGGAACAAGCCCTTAAGCACAAGATCAATAGAGGCTTGAATCTACCACGCTGAGCAGGCCCCCAGGTGTAGGCTGTGCAAAAATGCCACTGAGACAATCCAGCAAAAGACAGCAGGGTGCTGTTAGGCAGTACATACATGGAACAACATAGTATACAGGAACATCTGTGCCTAGTATGGCCTGGAAGTTCCATGGTCAGAATGGCAAATATCCCATAGGGTAGTTAAGAATGAGCTGGCTAAGATTCTGTGGGATGGTTAACCAACCGGATATAGTAGTGGTGTTGAAAATGAAAAGTAACCACCCCAGAGGGCAAGGGGGAAATGTTTTATATATATATATATATATATATATATACACACACAAACCTAACCCCCTTAAGCTAAAGGAATAGCTAAATAGAGATAAAGTAGAATAGAATGGACGTATTTGTGTTTTGTATGTTTTAAGGATTAACTTTGTTTGCTTTCCTTTTTTTTCTTGCTGAACAGGAAGTGGCACTATTGAGATCCCAGTACTTTGCATGCTAATTGGAGGTGATGCCAGAGTGCTGGAGGTGCGAAAAACGCTCACACTCGATCTCAGTTTGTGGACCAAATACGTCTTGAGTCACAAACTATCTGTGTTTTCCCAAATCCATCCATCCATCCATTTTTATAACCGCTTTTTCCAAAATGGGGTCACGGGGGGAATGGAGCCTATCCCAGTAGTCAGTGGGCAGCGGTGGGCTACATCCTGGACGATCCCAGTCGATCACAGGGCCACACGGAGACACACAAAGACGAGCAACCACACACACTCACACTCACTCCTAAGGGCAATTGGCAATGTCCAATCAACCTTACAAACAGGTTTTTAGACTGTGGGAAAAAGCCGGAGAACCCTGGGGGGGAGACTCCACCCAGAACGGTCCTGGTTCCCCGGCACTTCAACCCAGAACCCTCTGGCTGTGAGGTGATGGTGCTAACCACCACAACAAGAGTTAAAGCTTGCAGATTAAGACAAAACATATTACTCTATACCTGGTTTTATGTATACCTTTTTGCGTATTTCAGCATTTTCCAGAATCTTTCTATATCTTAAGGAAGACTTTATTCCAAATGTATATGTCTATATCCTATCATTAATGGGATAGAATCATTTGTATATTAATCTAAAACTCTTGGAAATACCTCTGAAGTTATGTCCCTTTTTTCTGACAAATATTTTAGTTTACATCTAGATACAAGTCTATCATTCTCAGACCTACTGATTAGATAGTTGATGAATAAAATCTTGTCTTTTATATGTTCTTTGACTCAGAGATTGGATACGTCTCTGAAAAAGGCAATGCCCTGGTTGGTCCTCGCTGGTTCCGGACCAGCCGCAGATCTTATCACAGAGCTGCTGGACAAACCTTCCGCTGTGGTCCTCAGTCCATCGTCCCCAGAGGGGGAGGCTCACGAGAGTCAAAGAACAGAGGCTTGTGAAAGGGTCCGCGAGCAGGTCCGGAAATACTTCCCAGCTGAGACTGAGCTGGACAGAGTTGTGGACAATGTGAGTATAGTTTTTTTCTCTTAATCAAAGGAGGTGGTGTCACAGGTTAAGTCATAAAGTTATGGCTGAAATTAGGTTGTAAGGCTTTGCTACAAATACATTTAATGCATGAGCTTTAAGTTTGCTGGAGATTTTAATCTATTAAGAAAAACACTTTTTTAAAAGTTTTATTTATCTTGGATACACTGATGTCCATTTCATTTTTTATAGAAAATGGTATACACAGTTAATTGTACTACGATGAACTGGAGGCAGTATTAAGAGAAACCAGTCCTAACCAAATTAATTTGATGCGCTATTTATCATCCATTCATCCATTTTCTGAACCCCTTATTCCCTAATGGGGTTGCGGGGGGAACTGCGGACTATCCCAGTAGTCAATACTTATATTAACGTTCAATTTATTTAGATTAAAGTAAAACATTTTTTGCAGACTTAACTGGTGGATTTTTCAAATCAAAAGTGTTCATGAATTGTATGTGTGAAACTCTTTGTCAAATACTGATTTGTTCCTTTACATCCGGCACTAGGTACTGAGCATTTGTCAGAACAGAGAGCTTATCACTGTTTTTCATGAAGAATTGGAGGGTTCCGAAGACTTTGACACAGTTATCCTCAGATCTCTTGTTAGAGGTTAGTGAAAAAGCTCAACTTTATATATGCTCAGTTATCATAGATTTAAGAAAAACACCTCAATGTTTGCAAGCAGTCTAGTATGTTTTAAAGTTGAGTAAATGGCATCAAATCACAGTATCCAAGTGTACAGAGTAAAGGTCAAATTGTCATAAATACAAAGTTTTCTGATATGGATAAAGTCATAGGATCAAATCAAGCTCATCTAAGAATTCATTTTCTTTGTCCAGAGCAGTTAAACACATTCAAACATTAGCAATTGTACTACAGATTCTCCAAAAGGAGAATACCACTCTTCCCATTTAGCTATTTCCAATGGCATATGTTAATTCTAACCCTTTTGCAGAGGTCAGGACGAAAACATAATTTTCAACCTTTTCTTGTTTTTCTTATTTGTGTAAAAAATGTAAAACTATACATCAGCAAAATCAATCTTTTTTTAGGTTCTTGTATCAAACTTTCGGAATAAAAGGGTTAGTATTGTGAAGTATCCTAAATAAAACTTAAATACTCTGAAGCTAGCAGACCTTTTTTGATCTCTGGAGAGTCAATGAGTCTGTTTTTTTTTCTTTTAAGTCCTAATTTGATATATCTAACCAGTGTAACCACCATGAAAAGATATCAATTATGCATTGAGCACAATGGCTTCATCCTGGGTAAAAATATTTTTGTGGCAATTTTCTTGGCATGGCTATTGTGTAAACATCTTTTTTTTTTTAGAAACTCCTAAATAGTTAGCTATTAGTTATATTTCTGAAATGTTGTTTTTAAAACTCTGTTTGTTTGTGTTAAGCTAGTAAACGTGTATCAAGTAAAGCCAGTGAGTACACGGAGGAGCTTCAACTGGCTGTGGCCTGGAACCGTGTGGACATTGCCAGAGCTGAGCTTTTTAATGGAGACATACAGTGGAAGGTTTGGGATTTATACTCCAGATTCATAGTAAAACAAATCTATAGTCCTTATAGCGATGATAAAAATGTTGGCATGATTGAAAACAATGTTTGAATCGATTTGTTTTGCACAAGTGTTATATTAGTATATTCCTAGGGTGTAAGATGTATTTCCTGCATGACTGCATAAGAAGGATTTGATGAAATGATCTCACTTTCAGTACGAGGACCTTGAGGCGTCGATGACCGACGCGCTGATCAACGACAAGCCCCAGTTTGTGCGTCTCTTCTGTGAGAATGGCCTCAACATCATCGACTACCTGACGTACGGGCGTCTGGAGCGGCTGTACCACTCGCTGTCGGACAGCTCGCTGGCCTACGTGCTTCTGCAGAGACGGCTGGGCGAGCGGCGAGGCCTGGCTGAGTCCCAGGCCATGATGGATGGACCGCTGACCGGGTCCACGGGCAGTCCTCAGAGCCCACTAGCCGCACCCGCCACGCCGATGGACCTCAGTCTTTATGAGGTGAACAAGATATAGCAGAGAAAGTCAAATTTAGTGATGTGCATCGATGTTTTGGCATGAAATGTTGAGATTGAGAAAAGCAGTGGAAACACCAAACAGGAGCTGAGCCCATGCAGACCTGACACTGATAATTGAAATGTTATGATGAGGGATGAGAAGGAAATTTATCAATGAATCCTATCATCCCGAGGGAATTCATGCAATCCGCTGATGTTGTAAATCTGTGATTCTGGGGCAGGTCTCCAGACTGATATGGGACCTCTTGGGCGACGTCTGCCATCCTTTCTACTTTGGACCTCTGGGCCTGGAACACAACATTAACACTTGGAGAGCTCAAAGGGTCAGTAAGCAAGGAGCTCTTCACTTTTGCTTGTTTGTTTTCCGTTTGATCGGGACATGAGATTATTATAGAAATCCTATTTAATGTTGTCAATGTAACAGTTATGTGGAGGACAAGTCTAGGTATTCATGTGGAAGACTCATATTGACCTCATCTTTTGTACCCTCTAATGGTACTGGGTTTTTCAAGAGTATTGATACTAGTCACCAAGTTTTTTATTGATATTAATACAAATCTATTGGGTCGAGTATCGCTGATTATGTCCTGTTACAAATAGTTGACTGGAGCTGTTTTATGTTTGGGTTGCACAATGGTTAGATTTATCTAGAAAAAAGGTACCTAGTGGACATGCCAGTTTTGGTGTGTAATTCATATGTTCTCTCTTGTGTATTTAATGGGTTCTCCCTGGAATTCCCAGCTCCAAACAGAATTGTGCATATAAGTTTAATTGATGACCTCTAAATTGTCCCTCAGAGTGAGTGTGTGTGGTTGTTTGTTGTTTTTTTGTCTTTTTAACCCAGTGACTGACTTTCTAGACCGCACCCCACTTAAATATGAAAAACAACACGCTTCCTTCTAACCATCTACTTTCTGGGGGCTATGCAGACATATTGACAGATGTTAAATGTAAAAAAACATTTTTAAATGTAAACAAAAAATGTTTGATGCAAATAAATGTGTTAAATTTAACAAAAAAAAAGTTCATTGAAAAAACAGTGTTAAATGTAAACAGAAAAACTTTAAATGCAAAAAAAGTTGTTCGATTTAAAAAACGCTAATTTTATTCAAACAAAAACATTAAATGAAAAAAACAATGTTAAATGTTAAAAAAAAAGTTAAATTCAAAATAAGTTGTTCAATTAAAAAACACTAATTATAAACGTTAAATGTAAAAATACATTGTTAAATGCTAACAAAAAATGTTACATTTAAAAAAAATACTTAAAACAAAAACGTTTTTTAAGAGAAAAGTTAAATGTAAACAAAAACAGCCACCATACTATTAGAATACCTAAATCAAAATGACAGCCTCTGTCTTTTTCCAATAAAGTGAATAAAGCCCCCATTCCTGGACCAGCACATGCACACTGAAAACTGAATAACGAGCACAATCTTAACCCCGACCGCAGAAAAAAGCAGGCTGTAGGTCTACTTTGAATTAGATATGTGCAAATAAGAATGGAAAATTGGACTGAATTGGATGTTTTCTGTTATGTGACCCAGTAGCTGATGGTCTTCTTTACTCTCTTTCTGAACCAAAGCAAGTGAGTAAGCTGCTGCAGGGGGACTGTGCGTACCGGGGGCACAGGTGTCCGTCCCCCTGGAGGGCGCTCTTCATCTGGGCCGTGCTGCAGAACCGCAGGGACATGGCCGTTTACTTTTGGGAGATGGTGAGACCTGTGAATTATTTCACGCTATTCAAATGGAGAACTGGTCATACTGGTGGTGGCAACGGACAGCGTTGGGATGCCTTTGTGCAAATCTTTTGCAAATATCTGTGTTGGCATATTGTCACTGTTCAAGTTAGTCTTTGTTTAGAGAATATTCCATACAGAAAAGATAGAGATACATTTTATGAAATTTGTATCTCTTATGTCTGAAACTTGTATGTAAAGCACACAACAGCAAAATCAGAAATAAGATACAGTGGGGGAAATAAGTATATGACCCCTTGCTGATTTTGCAGGTTTGCCCACTTACAAAGAATGCTTATTTTTCCTCATCAGATGGTTATAAATTTTTATACATTCATATGATTTGATTTTCTGGAATTTTCTTTGGGATCTTTCACTGTTAGAATGTACATATGATTAAAGTTAGAGATGGTTGCATTCTTTGTAAGTGGGCAAACCTGCAAAATCAGCAAGGGGTCAAATTCTTATTTCCCCCACTGTACATAGTAAATTTAAACAAAAGTAAACTTGTATGAGTAGTAAATCACACATTCTTTACATGATGCACAAAGCATGAAACATAAACTGAAAGTTACATTTCCTGCTATTAAGTAAGTTTATCTATTTTTTTTCCGTATGGGATTTAACAGCATCTTGTTTTTGCTTTTCAGGCCGGGGAGTCGGTGCTGAGCGCTCTGGGGGGCTGTAAGATACTGAGGGAGCTTTCAAAGCTGGAAATTGAAACCGAGAGCAAGTTGGCCATGAAAGAACTGGCCCAGCTGTTTGAGAACCTGGCGCTAGGTGGGTTTCATCCAAAACATTCTGTCTGCGTTAATAAACCAGACAGTTATTTTCTTATTTTTTTTTATTTTTTCATATCTGCCTTTTAAGATGTGTTTGGCGAGTGTTACCAGAGTTGCGAAAGCCGCTCCTTCACTCTCCTCATCAAAAAGTCTTCAGTGTGGGGCGGAGCCACCTGTCTGCAGATGGCCACCGCAGCCGACGCCCGCCTGTTCTTCAGCCATGATGGTGTTCAGGTACTTCCCTCATAAAAACACCCATATAACAGCTCTTTAAAAAAGCAGATTTTTGTTGTTGTTTGCTCTAAGAGGACCACATTAATGCTATCTAACCTTTCTCTAAAAGTCACATACAAACCACCATGTGGGGGACAGTTTGTGGTCAATTGTTTTCCTAAAGGACTTTTTTTTTCTTAGAAAAGTTCCTGTTGATCAAGTCTAAACACAGCATGTCAAACTTTTCTCGAAATCCAGAATATGTGCTTTCAAATTTTGTTCCTTTGACTCCAAATGTTGCACTTTAAGTGGTATTTCGCATTAATTGCGTGAGCAGATCTGAAGTCTTGGTGCTGATGGTGTGAATCTCCTGTGCTGCTGCAGTCCCTTCTGTCTCAGATTTGGTGGGGTGACATGGAGAGGGGCACAGAGGTCTGGAAGCTGATTCTTACCTTTTTCCTGCCACCTCTTCTCTACACTAAATTCATCAGCTTCAGGTCAGTTTTCTTTTTTGTTCATTACTGACTGTGTTAGCATTCAATCTGACCCCATAATCTCACAGTGTGCAATTCTTTTAAGATCAGATATTTAAAGGTGAAACTACGTCTTACACTCTACAGATGTTGTAAAATTAAACAGAGAAGTACAATGCATGAACATTTTTCAAAATAAAAGTTTTATACACAAGCACCTTTAACTTTAAATTAATCATGGCTAGTGATACAATCATTTAAGTAACATGTAATTCTGAAAACAGCATTATTAGAAATGAACAGCACAATAGTAATCAGGACATACAAAGAGGCTACATGTAAGCTACATAGGCTGATAAATGTAAAGAAAAACGGATTATTTAATTCTTAACTCACTAGATTGCAGAACATGTCAATAGTGCACTTAATGAATGCAGAAAGAAGTAAATATTTACAACAATCAATAAAAAAACAACTAATCATAAAGTGAAAACAGAGGTAGAAACCATACATTGTTCAAACAAAAAGGGTTGGACTGATGATTAGGCGCTGTGTAAACCTGTTCTACACATTATATGGATTTGACTTTGCTTAGTAAAAATTAAATGCATGTTTTTTTGTGTGTTGGCAAAGTTTATGCAGAAAATGTCCTTTCCAGATGTTTGTTATCGGTGATCATGTTCTCTTTGAGTGCTTCATCATATTAAGTTTACTGTCCTAATTGATTTGTTTGATAGATCAATATGGACTATGAATTTGCTGATTAGTTTTATTTTGTTAAGCTTATTTCTGAGGAACAAAGGGTTTGCTGTGTGTCTTCGTCTTATAGGGAACAAGAGGAGGTGAATTCTACAGCAGTCATTTACAAAGGAGAAACTGACAGTTTGGATGGGGACGGCACTGTTGTCTCTCTTGCTGACATTACACAAAGGTACAAATAACTAGCAGGCATATATTGGACAGTTTATGTTGGCTGTTCTCCTCCTCCTTTAAACAAAAACTTGTGCTTCTGTGTGCAATTCCAGCGAGGAAGAAAGAGAGCAACTCAGGCCTCTCAGAGAGAACCTCGAGGGTGGGTTTCAATCTCTTTTTTATGCAAATATATAAAACATTTCTGCTGTATTCATTTGTGGCCATTTTACTGATACTGTCATGGTTAGTTGTCGTTTCATCTTGTCCCGTCTTTTTAATGATCTGGCTGAGGGGGTTTAGGCCATATGGTGGGTATAGAGGATGCGTGGGTATATAAATGCCTCATTTCATGACATTGGCCTCCAGTGTCATTTGCCAAATTTCCATTGAATTCCTAATGAGGCTTCTTACGGTCTTGTTGATCTCGTACAGTATAGATGTTATAGATGTATGAATAGCTGAGTTTGTATGGTTGTTTGTCTCTGTGTGTCTTTGTGATGGAACGGCGACCGGTCCACGGTGTACCCTGCATCTCACCCAAAGTTAGCTGGGATAACACCCCCCTGCCCCCCATAGACCGATGGGTGTATGGACAATAGCACTAGCCCTTATTGATTATGCTGCGAGCAATTGATTGTATAACCAACAGAGAGAAGTTGAAGTTAGGCCTAAGTATTTGCATACCTAGATGTTATGCCTCATCAGTTCATTACACCGTAATTTGTGTGATTGGTCGCGAACATCCTTGACTCATTTCTGATCTGAATATTTTGCTTTTCGGTTCAGGCTCTTCTCCAGCCAAGAGGAAGTGGCCTTTTATTGTGACGAGGTGGCGACAGTTCTGGTTCGCCCCTGTGACCTCGTTCCTCGGCAATGTGCTGATGTACTTCCTCTTCCTTTGCCTATTTGCCTATGTTCTTCTGGTGGACTTCAAACCTCCCACCGCTGCTGGCCCGAGCCATCTGGAGTTTGTTCTGTACTTTTGGGTCTTCACGTTAGTCTGTGAAGAGATTCGTCAGGTCAGTTATTTTTCCCGACAGCATGCACACTCAAGCAGTATATGTGTAATCATTTAACATGAATATTGGGGAAACTAGATCAAATGATCCAAAGGAATGCAAGAGTCTGCAAATAATTTGAATCCATTTGGAAATCTCACAGTCAACATTTTACCAATAGAAACTGATCATTTCTGCGTGTTCTCCCCGAACACACACATATAATTTACAGCCCCATGTGGGTCTTTTCTGGTTACTGCCATTCCTTCTCCACCACTATTCATAATTTTGCATGATAGGTTAATTTTCTGAATTGTCTAAAGCAGATATAGACATGAAATTGAATTTATATTGGTGATTGGTCTGATATAAGCAATCAAACAACAAACGTGATGGAATACCTTGCCTCCCTTTCTTTCTCGTTGTATCAACAGACCTTCTTTGTGGGAAGTTTATTTGTGTTCCAGAGAATGAGAAACTACATTCAGGATGTATGGAACAAGTGTGATCTCACAGCCATGACACTCTTCATTTTGGGTCTGTGTTGCAGGTGATTGGTCGTCTTACATAACTGGTAGTAGGACACTGTTAGAAGATGTCTAAATATCTTTGCAGTTGTGCTTTAAAGCCAGTCAGTACAGTACTTATCCTTTATCCTTAGTTGGATGCCTTGGGGGAAGCTATTTTAATTGACATGGGGATTTCCTTTCCTTTTTTTTTAGAATGTTTTCCTGGTCGTACAACTTTGGCCGAGCCGTGTTGGCCATAGATTTTATGGTCTTCACCCTGCGTCTGATCCACATTTTTGCCATCCACAAACAGCTTGGGCCCAAGATCATCATTGTCGGCAAAATGGTAATGGTGCAGAGCTCCCAAAAGCATCGATGTGCAGCGCACTACTTTGACAAAAAGCAGCAAGAAACAACGTCAACATGCCATTCAACATCGATTTAGAGCTTACTTCCAAAATTACCTAACCTTACCACCTTTGCATAATGAAACATGGTCTTTAAAACTGAACTAATGTAGACGTAGTGTAAGTACCTAAAATGACTATAGAGCAGGCATCCTGCATCATATTTTATTAAATTAAGTTCAATTTAAAAGGCTGTATTATCCCTGAATACAGTTAAATTCAATTAAATTACAGTTGCAGAAATGATCTTATCTAATTATTCTCTGCAAATGACTTTAATTTAACATGTCTTCTGTATATAAATAGGCATATGTTTGCTTTTATAGCGTTGAGTTTCGTTTTGTATGGACAAACAGCATCATTAATCTTATCCTCCACCATAATCCTTCACCTATCTGTCTTTTTGTTTTCAGGTGAAAGACGTTTTCTTCTTCCTCTTCTTTCTGGCTGTGTGGCTCATGGCCTACGGAGTTGCTAATCAGGCCCTTCTCTACTCGTATGATCCCCGTCCCAAATGGATATTCCGACGAGTGTTCTACAGACCATACCTGCACATTTTTGGGCAGATAGCTATAAATGAATTGGATAGTGAGTTCACCTTTTTCTTGAAGCTTGATGATTAAAATGAATTTATAGTCTATTTGACATCTCAAAAGACTCAGATATAAGGTTGTATACGGTCATTTGCACACACAAATTTTCATACATATAAAATCCAACTGCTTAATTTTCTCATAAATTCACTCATACAGATAGATATTTTCCAGGTCAATCGGTGGAAAACAGTGTTATAAAATACACTTAAATAGACCTTGTGTTTTAAAGACATTTTAAGGACACTGTTAAGCAAAGTGGATAGTACAAGATTAAATGATTTCTTTGACTGCTACTGATGCTCTCTGTTCTTGGAGTGAATGTTAGAGCGGCTCTTTAGGATTATGTTACTCACCGGTTGTTTGGATCTTCTCTCCAGCTGATAAACTGGGCGACGTAAACTGCACAGACGATGCCACAGAAATTGAAAATGGAGCAGAACCCTGCGTGAGCACCTACGCAAACTGGCTGGTCGCCGTCCTTCTTGTTATCTACCTGCTGTTCACCAACATCGTGTTGATCAACCTTCTAATTGCCATGTTCAGGTACGCTGCTAGCTATAGTTAGAAAATAAGTCATTTCTATTTCTCTCTGTGGAAATGACTGGGCTTCTGTAAATAACTTCAGAGGAGGGTCTGACCTGCTCTGTTTGGAAAGCGCCATAAGATAACTGTTGTGATAAAATTGATTGAACTGAATTTGCTATTCTGTCTGTTTAGTGACTTACCATTTGTTGTTATGGATCTCTTTCAGCCACACATTCTCCAAAGTACAGGAGCGCTCGGACACCTACTGGAAGTTCCAACGTTACAATCTGGTTGTGGAGTACCACTCGAGGCCCTGCCTAGCACCTCCCTTCATAATCATCTCCCATCTCAAACTTTTTATCAAGAGAAACATCTGTCGAATTTCCTCCGTCAAAAGTCAACACTTTGGTGAGACACTAAGCAGGAGGTCTGAGTTCAAGACTGGCATTTACGAGAGGTTGTTCTCCTTTTATTATGAACTCAAATCAGAAAATGTTGAAACAGTATAGAAACAATTCATTTACTATTAAAAGGGAAAGTTTAGGGACAATAATTCACAATAATTTCACATTATGAAAGTTGATTTCATAATGATTTGGAACAAAATAAGTATTTAAGGCAGCATTCATTAAAGGCTGTGTCTGTGTACAAAGTCTTTAAGCAAATAACTTTTGTTTTGTAAAAAATATAAAATAAACTCAAGAAAATTTAGAAGCAATGTTCATTTAAAAACTTTGGAAAGAATTGAGTAAATCAATAGGATTTAATTACAAGAGCCTAAGCTTTCCACAGGACCTAGATCTTCCACTGACTATAGACTTATAGCTGAAAAACCCTTTACATAGTACTAAAATACATTGTTCTGGTTGTATTGGGAAGAGATGAGGACCAAAAGGCTGAGCAGCAGGTTAAAGGAATTAAGATTTATTCAAAGAAAGTAACCAGAAATGTGGTCAGAAATACAATATATACCCTAAACAATAAAAACAAAAGACAAACTGGGTAGCTTAGTCCAGCGACTGGTGAAAGGCGGGACAAAAAAACTGAACAGAACTGAGGAAAGGTGAGACTAATTGACAAAAGTAAGACTTCAAAGAAGAACCATGAGGGTAACAACAAGAAAGACAATCGCTAACTAAAGAAATTAAAAAAATCAACAGCTCTGAAACACAAACTAAAACAAAATATTTTTTAAAAAAGATAAAAATGTATCCGCAGGATTCATTATGAGTTAATACTTTAAAGAGCATTGGAATAGGAACACAAAATACAAGAAAATAAGAACAGGGCATGATAATTAACAAAGATTGTTTTCATTGAATAGTGCAAGGAATTTAAATGAACATACTAACGCTTTAAATAGCATAATATCCCCGGAGATCCATGGAGTTTTAACAAACAAGAGAACTCAAGAGAACTGTCTTCATACATGAATACAAGAGTACCAAATGAGCCCAGAACAGAAGAGATGCAGTGTGAACCACACATTCACACGAAGAATAGAAGAAAATGACACCAGACCTGACCAATTCTATTGCCTGGAGTGTTTAATATCCAGTGTTATGGCAGAGACTAGCAACAATGGCTGACATACCAAAAAATGATCCAAAATGGATGCGTGTTTTCAGAGAAAGTAAAGCGAACTTAGTCAGCCATGATATTTTCATTCTTTATACACATTGTCTCATACCAACCTTGTAAAGTTCTTTGTTTATTTGTGTTTTTTTTGCACTGCATACCAAAATACATTAAACTAAGCAGCTTTCATATCCTAAATGTGTTATATTAAAGTTTACAGAACGTCATACTGGTTTTATCTGACACTATCTAGGGAATAAGTATTATACCTTTAAAAGTCTTATTTTGGTTGTAAGTGTCCAACAAGTCGAGGTTTCTCCTCTGATATCCACATACATCAGACATGTGTCTTAACATGTTTATGTAGATAATGTACTTGTGCTGAGGTCCACTAACTGGATTTCTATCTTTAGCCCTAGATCTCAGAGGAAGGAATGCCAGTCAGCTTAATACATGGGAAGCCATCCAAAAAGAAAACGTCCTGTCAGCGCAGAATAAGCGACAGAGGGAGAGTGACACCGCACGACTACAGCGCACATCCACTAAGTGAGTTTCCCATGAGGTGGAAGCTCTTTTGAGGTGTTGAGACTTTTCAAAGCACACCGGTTAATAAGTCATTTGTCTGCTATGTTGTACTAACATTGTAATAAAGTTGCTTCCAGGTACTATCTTTATCACCTGTTAGTGAAGATAGGAGCTTGTGCTGAAAATCCATATTGACTGACCCAGTTCTTGACAGATTGCCTCACATTTCACCATAAAAGCTACCAAATGTCAGAGTGTTAATGATTAAGAAATTATCTTTTTACAGCACCCATGTCCTTTAACTGGACAAAAGAAAAAGAGAAAACATTCTAACTCCACAAGTATGATAGAGCGTTGATGGAAGCCATCTCTTCTAACTTTTAGACATTGTCACATTGTCTTTACAATAGTCAGTATTGCTTGTTTTTTCTATCCATTAATTGCTGTGCTCATGCATTTTGAAAACAACACCTGAGAGACAATGTCGTTGAACACTTAATGCGGTTTCAGGTGCATTCTTGAATTGTGTGACACCCTCCAGAGTAAGTCTTAATTTCATCCATCCATCCATTTTCTTCGGCTTATTTGGGGTTGGATCCCAGAGCTGGTTCTCAAGCTCCTGCAGGTTTTAGAGGTCTCTCAGTCAACAGGACTGCTGGACAGTGGGCACCCCTGCTCCAAAGGAAAGGCCAGACACCTTTCAGAGGGAGCCCATTTGGTCACTTGTATCCACGATCTTATTCTTTCAGTCATGACCCAGAGCTCATGACCATAGAGTTACATTTACATTTCTGCATCCAGCAGACGCTTTTATCCAAAACGACTTCCAAAAATAGGGTTTGACATCAGCTACAGCACCAGTTTCACACTTACCTTAACTTGAGTGCAATATGCTAGAAGAGGATTTAACATTAAGGATTTAACATTGAACTATAACACAGAGTCCACAGGTAGCATCCAATGATGCTACATGCTATCAGGAAATAAGTGCATTTAGGGCTTTAGGACCAGAGATACTCTGGAATAGCTGGGTCTTCAAGGGTTTCTTGCATCCTCATCCTTCCATTGATGAGGGTGGGGGCGCAGATGGATTGGTAAATGGTGAGCTTTGCTTTTAGACTCAGCTCTCTCTTCACCGTGACAGACCGATTCACTGCTAACACAGAACCCATCTCCCTTTCAATCTCCCGCTCTATTTTTTCACGATTTGAGAAGAACATCCCAAGATAATTCAACCCCTCCACTTGGGGCAGGACCTCCTGCTCCCAACCCAGAGAAGGCGCTCCACCCTTTTCCAGTTAGAGACCATGGCCTCGAATTTTAAGGCACTGAACCTCAGCCTGACCGCTTTGTACGGGGCTGCAAACTGCTGAAGAAAAAGCTGTAAATCACAGCTTGCTGAAGCCATTAGGACCACATCATCTGCAAAGAGCAGAGATACCTAGAAATTCTGGCCAAAAGAGTTAAGAACAGAATCGAAACCTTGCTTTACCAAAAATGAGCCCCACCGACTCCCGGCAATGTGGACCAAGCTCTGACACCAGTCATACGAGGGTCACAGATTCAGTTAAAAGCCAAAAAGACCTTTTTTTTTAACCCTTTTGTGTCCTCCAGGGGTCATTCACACCTCGGATTAAATGAATCCAGGGATGAATGACCCCAGGAGGGTTAAATTGTTTTAATATGCACATGATTTGATGATGTGTGCATGATCAAATGCGGAATATAATGTAACGCAAATTGTGATGGTAATATGATATTTTTTATATGTTTTATATTTAACCAACTCATCTACACTTTACTATCTAAATACTACATGCCTTCATCACTCCAAAAGGAGCAGATGATTTAACAGAGGTTTAATCATCATATTGCATATATTTACATATTAGTGAGGATGTTCTAATTTGCACTTTTCACTCATTTCACTCAGTTGCACCCTAGGATAAAAAGTGAAAACATTCTAAATACAAAGATCATATGAATTTGAAAAAGATATAAAATGAAATCATAGTTATTTTTGGTGATTGTTTTTTTTTTGTGGTGATAGCGAGCTGTGATGTTTTCATACCTATACCTACCCTAATTTCTGGTGTCCACATATATATCTAAATGAGTTGTTACGGTAAAAGCAGGGTATTTAAACATTAATATGAAGTGCCACCTTTTTGGCTTAAACTCAGGCATTGTGCTCTTTCTGAAGGGTGGACACTGTTCTAAAGCAGATGGCAGAAATCCGCGACCACGACCGAAGGCTGCAGTTGGTTGAGACACAGGTCAGTGATACTACTACTATATACATAAATGTATGTATATATATATCTATTGTTTGTTGCTTGTTAGTACAGAAAACCTTGCGTACTAATGGACACAAACGTTGGAGTTTCCATTACTTTAATGCCAAGACAAATACAAGCTTGCTCATAGCCTATTAAGTTAATTTAGGAAACCAAGATGAAAAACTATAACAGAGACCTGATGAGACATTTTTTGCACTTCAGAATAAGTTGTTCACACGTTGAAAAGTTCCTCATATCTGTATTCACAAAGTTTTTGAAACACTTAAGAAACTCCACATAGGTGGATTCGACCTAATGAGCAGTGTATGATGACCCTTGCTGTGTCCTGCACCATCCTCTGTCTGCTAAATCTCCCTGCAGCTGGAGTACTGCTGCAGTGCCCTCTCCTGGATGACCGAGGCGCTTTCTCAAAGCCATCTGATCAAAGCCAGCCGGCCCTCTCCTACTCTAAAAGGTGACGCCACAAATCTCAAATAAGACAGTGAAAAAAAATTTTTTTACTGTTACTCCTCACGTGTATGAGTCTCTATACATGGCTTTATTGAAACTGTTCAAATTCTTTGAGAGGATATCACTAAATTCCCACCATGGTTTGAGCTTTTCACACCACCTGCAGACAGTAAAGTCTCAGGGAAAACCAAAGCGAGGCCTTTACTGGCTAGCTTTACCACCTTACTTGACCATTGATTGTAAAATTTCTATGGCTGTCAATTATGAAAACATTCAAACTGATCCAATGAAAAAAAGGTTCTAAAAAATTCAGTGCAGGCATTGAGCCACCATATTGGCATTAAATTGAGTATTGTCTTAATGTATTCCAATGCGCTTATCTAGTTGTCACCATTAATGTTGGTGTCTGATGGAGTACATTTACATTTCTGCATCCAGCAGACGCTTTTATCCAAAGCGACTTCCAAAAAGAGGCTTTAACTTTCAACTACAACACCAGTTTCAAATTTAGTTTAACTTGAGTGCAATATACTAGAAGAGGATTTAACATTAAAGATTTCACATTCAACTACAACGCAGATTCCAGCTGTACCATCCATTGATGCTACATGCTATCAGGAAACAAGAGACTTTAGAGCTTTCGGGATCAAGGATACTCTGGAAGAGCTGGGTCTTCAAGGCTTTCTGAAGGAGGAAAGAGAATCTGATGCTCTGATAGTCTTGTGAGGTTGTTCCACCAGCGTGGAACCAAAAATGTCATGAATCCAGATTGACCTGTTAGCTGGCACTCCCTGGAGGACCGGAGTGGGGGAGTAGTGACATGAGGCTTTAAGAGGCTGTTGGGGTAGATGGTAGATCCATCAGACACTCTGTAGACCAGCATCAGGGATCTGGATCTGATGGAGCAGCTGAGGGAAGCCAGATGAGTTCAGAGAACAGGAGGTTAATACCAGCTCTGATTGGCTGGTTGGAAACCAAACCCCGCTGCAGCATCTGGATCATCTGGATCATCTCACAGCACAGGCTGGAGGCCTGTTAGGAGGGACGACTGAGGCCTGGACTAGGATCTGTGGGCCACGTTGGGTTAGATATGGCCTGATGTTCCTGATGTTGAACGGAGAGAAGAGGCAACGTGATCTGTAAAGTTCAGCCAATCATCAAACATAACAGCCAGGTTTCTTGCAGCCTTGGTGGGTGCTGCAGATGGTGTGTAGTGTGAGTGGAGGTGTGCTTGTTTTACACATGGCGTTCTACCACAGGCCTAAGCTATTCCTAGTCCTGCCCTCGATCTCGGTGTCTGCTGCATCTGCACTTACCTCATCTCTTTTTCTGTTCCGTGCACTTCATTTCTCCAGATTTGTTAATGATTTTTGTCTTTCTTCGTAGATCGTGCTTCGCCGTGTCCGAGTTGACGCGCCGACCTCCAGGATCACACATCCTTAAGCATATCTCAATCCAAATACAGTCAAATGTGAAGAAATGTGGAATTCATGTCTTTGCAGGAGAATACATGGAGACAAAGCAAATTGTTAGATATTCTACCAATATTCTGCTTTGGTTTCATTTACATTGTATGTTGTTTTAGACTTTTTTTTTATATGAAAGCTACATTTAATTTGTAATTCATTGTAATCCATCACACAGCATTGCATGGACTATTACATTTCCTATTCTGGTGGCTGAAACTTATCCAAGCTGCCACTAGGCAAGAGGGCATTTCACCAGTTGATCACTAGGCCAACAAAGTGGGGATGTTTTAAATAAAATTGTCAAGTTATCCGATACTTTCAACGGAGAACAGTGTGCATTGATAAAAGCTAATTAGTGTTTTAAGAGATTCACTTGAAGATTACATAATTTTAGAAAAATCTGATGAATTTATAAAGAGCCTACCATCTTATTTTCCCTCATCTTTTGGTATCTCGTCCATAATGTGCTTTTTACTTTTTTTTACTTTAATTTCTCCAAGAACCCAGTCAATAAGAAGACATTGTACCATGTTGTATACTATATATTTTGACAATGTTTTCATTCAATAGAATCTTAAAAAGTTGTTTTTGAGTTGTTTCAGTTGACTGACTCACAATTTTAGATCAAGTCTACCAAGCTATAATAATCACATATTTACACTGTTTTTACATTACATTGCCTAATTGTTACATTATTAGCCATAATAATTCTTTAAATAAAGTTTTATAACCTCAGAGGGGACATGGCTGGAAAAGGAGCCCCTCATGAAAGGAAATGATACTTATTACATTCACACTAATTACATAGGTTTACATAGTCATTTTGGAGATTTTTAAAAGTGGTTTTGGTGATCATACTATTAGAAATGTTTGAGAAAGTCTTTTTTTAATGTAGAAAGAAGTCATTGGAAAAAGATTTGAAAACATTTCTGTAGCTGTTTTGATGGAAAACTACAGTTTAACTCATAAAGGCAGTTCATCTTCAAAGTGTCATTTTCCTGCTGATGGGTGAACCCGCAGAGATACATGGTGGAGGCAGCATCATGATCTGGGGATGTTTTCATCCCTGTCTAAGACTTTTTAAAAACTGAAAAAGGTTTTCCCTTTTTTTTCTCTCTCTATTATCCGCAATTCTTTAGAGTCTCAACAGTTTGTTTCCATTGAAGACATGGTGGTCTTTGGGTGTTCAGGGTGTTGGGGTTTGTGCCACCCATTATGTTTTGCTTGAAGTTCAATTTTAGTTGCTACAAAGAGTATATCCTTCCAGATGTGTTTTTTTCATTGACTTTGTTAGCTGTTTCACACAAAGTCTGTGATCAGAAACCAAACTGCTCCACTTGTCTTTACCATGAAACTCTCCAAATCTGGAGAGTTTTATGTTTGTGTGTGAGTCTGTGTATATATATCTATATATATACTGTATATAAATAATTAGTATAGACTGTGACTAGTTTTTTTACTTTTTCTATCCCTACTTGAAATTACATAAAAACTTATGTGAATCCAAATGATTGAAATATTTATGTGACAACTGAGAATCATTTAAATCCATATGATCATATCACAGAATTTGATTTTACTGTGCTTTTTTCTTTCTCTGTCTTTTAAAAAATGTTTTGTGGTGTTTCATCTCATCAAACTGGGTTACTTTTTTATAAGAATAAAATTAAAAAAGTTACAGCAAAGCAAGCTGTAAAATCTAAGAGCAAAATGTCACAAGTCTGGGTTTTTTTTAAATCGTGGAATCTGTGCAGATTTACTCATAAAACGACGGGAGAAGCCTTTAATGTGGTTCAGCATTATTTACAGGTTCAGATTCATCTTCAGACTTGCTAACGACACTCGACACACAAACATATACACCACTCCCCTGAGGTAACTGTATCTTCTAAAGTGATTTCCCTCTTTAGGCCATCCTTAAATGGAAGGTGCTTGGGGTGAATTTGGCACTGGATTCAACTCCGAGATGGAAACTTATCCTGCTGGGGAATTTTATATCTGATTAATGAACGGGCTGTTGATGTGCACTCGGCATTATCTCGTTACGTTCCCCTCCAGCAAACAATTGTTTTTACCCGAACAGTTCAGTGTTACGTGTACAAGCATGTTAAATCTTAAACATGTTCCCTTTTCTAAAGCACAAAAAGAGAGTTAAGAAAAAGCTAACTGAAATGACAAATGTGCATTGCATTTGTGCAAAGGATATAGTGGGTCAATGTAAGCAGACTCATGATCCAAACTAAGAGGGAAGACATGTCTTTGGCATGTCTCAGCTCATCTCCACTTTCAGCCACTTTGCAGTCTTTATCCTGATCTCCTCTCCCCTTTGCTCAGTCAAACTCAGCTGTTTTCCCCCGCCACCAGCTTGTTACTATTAGAAATGCATTTAGGCAACATGTGCTATATGTTCTTTATATATCATAAATAATAACTGGTAGCTGGTGATGCTGAATAGATCTCAACAGGTTTTAAAGTTGTTTGGACATCATTTTTTAAAACGTTTCCTGGTATAGACATAGACAAAAATCAATAGTCTTTCACCCATATGCACACAAAAATCATTTGGATATATGCTTTTGTAGACAACATTATAAGATAAATACTTTTAGTAAAGTTTGTGGTTTTGTTTGACACAGTTTAAAGCAGCCTAACTTTTTCCCTCGGCATTTCTCTACATGGAATAGGTTTAACAGGTCAATTGATTGTTTCCTGAGTACCAAAAGACCCATACAAAACAAGAACATTATTCATTAGAGCTAATCCACTTTGATTCATGAGATAGTCCAGATGTTCCTCTTACTAAGTCCCCCCCCCCCACATGTGCAAGTGAGAATTACTGAAGATGGGAGATACTGTGTTGCTTGAGCCAGAGCGGCTCACATTACACTGACTCTGGCAGTGCCTGGTTTTAAATAGAGTGGTTTTCAACTCCTCCCAGCAGAAGTCCATCTATTTTGGGTGCTGCATGTAGGGAGAAGGAACAGTAGATGGGCCACAGATCAGTGTCTTTGCTTGGCACAGACGCTTTATAGCATATACATTTTAGCTGCATCAGCATAATTCAGCTGCTGGATGTATAAAGACACAATTACAAAAAAACAGTTTTGGTCCAGTGTCTGGTGTATGTTCAGTCTCAATAAAAATATGAACCCACAGACTGACTTTACGGTACCTTTATCATTGGACATTAAAATAGACCAGGCTTTTTCTTTGGAGAGCTGTAAAAGGTTTTTCCCTTGGAATACAGATACACTTAAAGCAGTTCATTAAATAACTTCATATTTGCAGTCTACTGCCCAAGGATAAGGGCTTCATTTGTTCTTTTGTGCAGGTTTGTGCTCTTCAGATGTTCCAATGTAGTAGGTATGGTTACATTTATCCAAAGTACAAGATACATTTGATAAACCCCTAATACTTTTCTTTAGCCAATGATAGTGTTTCTTTTGGAGCTTTTGCTCCATGATTATATATATTTAACTTCATATAAGCACAATCACCACAGCAAAGCATCCCAGATATCCAAAAATAATTGGAATGTCGGGTTGGCTTAAGAATAATGTCGACACTTGAGTAGAAAGGTCAGGGTAATAGATAATAATTGCACTCTGAGAATCTAGATACCCGGACCTAAAGTCATGGAAATACACAGCGAGATGAGACAGCTTTTACTGGAATACAGCGGCATGGTCAGACCCAGTAGGTTGGCAACTCATCTGGTCAACCATTCTCTGTGCTGTCACAAGGACAATATAAACAGACACCTACACCTCGGGGAGGTTCTTGAGATTGTACTGGTGGTCTCAGCTCTACTAACCTAAACTGACCACGCTCCCCCTAACATTATGGTCTGATTACAGTCCTTTTGCCTGTAGCTAATTCTGCAATGTGACTCAAACATTTGATCATGATTGAAAAGCAGGTAGGTATCGCTTGGGCCATATACCACCTCAACCCATTCTCTGCCATTGGTAACTTAACTTATGGATAGGGCAGGCCTGCCCACCAACATTTGCCTCTGTCAGTCATCCTGCCTGCCCCCCCTTCTTCTCAGCTTACCCCATAGATCGGTCCCACTCTTTTTCTGTCGCTCTCACACTAGTCCTGTCTGCGCCCTCAGCCTCGACCAGTTTCTGTCGGATCTGCTCTCCTTTATTGCGGGAGTCTCAACCGATCACGGAAGCGGACTTTGAAGTGCTGCCAGATTTAGGCCAAGAAAATTGCGTTTCTTTGGGGATCCCCGAGACTTTGGAACAAATATATAGAGCTGGTTTTGGAATAACTTCTCTGCGCAGAAGCTCTCCGGGTGGATGCTGATAACTGGTATCCAGACAGTACTGAAGAGATCAGTCTGAATGCATGACACCCTAAAGTGACCACAAAGTTTTGAGTTGTGTGTTTGGAGGCTAATATCGAGAAACTGCAGTGCTGGACTCCTGCAGTGATTCCAGGTTGTTTCCCTACCACTGGACTTTGTCTTGGCTGAAAACATGGCATCATTGAGAAGTTTGATTCTTGGCCTGCTGCTGGCCCTGCTCTGCTCCTTCCACACCCCCCTGGCCCCCATGGCAAAGGCTCAAGACCTGCCTTCCTACTCTGAGCAGGGGCTGATGGCCGACGACGACGACGACGACGATGATGACGACGATGATGATGACGACGATGATGACGACGATGATGATGATGATGACGATGATGACGATGATGACGACGATGATGATGACGACGACGACGATGATGATGACGATGACGATGATGATGACGACGATGATGATGATGACGACGATGATGATGATGACGACGACGACGACGATGATGATGATGATGACGATGATGATGACGACGACGACGACGACGATGATGATGATGATGACGACGATGACGACGACGATGATGATGATGACGATGATGATGACGACGATGATGATGATGACGACGATGATGATGACGACGACGACGATGATGATGATGACGACGACGATGATGATGATGATGACGACGATGATGATGACGATGATGACGACGATGATGATGATGACGATGATGATGATGACGATGACGACGATGACGATGATGATGACGACGACGATGATGATGATGATCATGAAGGTCAGTCAGTATAGATGTTATTGATATGACTTCTGTTTGGAATATATGCAGAAATCTGTACCCATAGTACATAGTTACTGATTGGTGTATTCCAGTACTGTCGGTTGCTGTC